ACTCTGGACACACCGGACACACCGGACACGCATCGAAGGGTGGGGACCACCCAAAGTCACCCCCGTGCAGCTCCCAGGGGGGTGGGGAAGAGCTCCACGGAGCCGATTTGGGTCTGGGGGGACAAATTGGAGCCAAAATCAGTGAGAGGACTCAGGGTCGGATCTGCTGCAGCTCAGTGTCCCCCCATGGCTGCAGTTTGGACACTGAGGATGGACACACCGGACATGCACCCAAGGGTGGGGACCACCCAAAATCATCCCCGTGCAGCTCCAAGGAGGATGGGAGAGAGCTCCACGGGACTCGGGGTCGGAGCTGCGGCTCAGTGGCCATCCATGGCTGCAGTTTGGACACTGAGGATGGACACACCGGACACACCGGACACACACCCAAGGGTGGGGGCCACCCAAAATCACCCCCGTGCAGCTCCGAGGAAGCCGGGAAAGAGCTCCAGGGGACTCGGGGTCGGAGCTGCAGCTCAATGGCCCCCGGTGGCTGTGGTTTGGACACGGAGGATGGACATGCCGGACATGCCGGACACGCAGCCAAGGGTGGGGGCCACCCAAAATCACCCCCGTGCAGCTCCGAGGAAGCCGGGAAAGAGCTCCACGGAGCCAATTTGGGCACGGGGAGAAAAACCAGAGCCAAAACCAGCGAAGGGACTCGGGGTCGGAGCTGTGGTTTGGACACTGAGGATGGACACTGCGGACACTCCGGCCACACTCCCAAGGGTGGGGGCCACCCAAAATCACCCAACTGCAGCTCCGAGGCGGGTGGGGAAGAGCTCCACGGAGCGGATTTGGCTCCGGGGGGAAAAATTGGAGCTGAGATCAGTGGAGGAGCTCGGGGTCAGAGCTGCAGTTTGGACACTGAGGATGGACACTCTGGACATGCTGGACATGCACCTAAGGGTGGGGGCCACCCAAAATCACCCAACTGCAGCTCCGAGGCGGGTGGGGAAGAGCTCCACGGAGCGGATTTGGCTCCGGGGGGAAAGATTGGAGCTGAGATCAGTGGAGGAGCTCAGGCTCGGAGCTGCAGCTCGGACACTGAGGATGGACACTCCGGACATGCCGGACACGCTCCCAAGGGTGGGGGCCACCCAAAATCACCCCCATGCAGCTCCCAGAGGGGTGGGGGAGAGCTCCACGGAGCCGATTTGGCTCTGGGGGGAAAGATTGGAGCTGAGATCAGTGGAGGAGCTCGGGGTCGGAGCTGCAGCTTGGACACTGAGGATGGACACTCCGGACACTCCGGCCACGCTCCCAAGGGTGGGGTCCACCCAAAATCACCCAACTGCAGCTCCGAGGGGGTTGGGGAAGAGCTCCACAGAGCTGATTTGGGCGCGGGGAGAAAAACCGGAGCCAAAACCAGYGAAGGGACTCGGGGACRGAGCTGCGGTTTGGACAMTGAGGATGGACACTGCGGACACTCTGGACACTCCGGCCAYGCTCCCAAGGGTGGGGGCCACCCAAAATCACCCAACTGCAGCCCCGAGGGGCACGCGGAGCTCCGCGCTGGGCACAGGGAGCAGCAGCAGAGGGGCAGCGAGGCCACGGTGTGCGCCAAGAACAGCAAGGTCAGCTCCACCGGCGAGAAGGTCGTGCTCTGGACCAGGTGAGAGTGGAGCTCACGGGGATCGGCCCCGCCTCCTTCCCTTCCCTTTAAATCCCATTTTCTGTCTTTTTCCCCTTTCAATTCCCATTTTTGGCCTTTTTTCCCTTTCAGTTCCCATTTTCTGAATTCCCATTTTCTGCCCRTTTGAATTCCCAATTTCTGCTTTTTCCTTCTGAATCCCCATTTTCTGAATTCCCATTTTCTGAATCCCCTGTGAATCCCTGTTTTTAAATCCCCATTTTTCCCTCTTTCCCTGTGAATTCCCATTTCCTGTATCTTCATTTTCT